TCCTTGGAGGCAAGGATTCTGAGGCTTTGTCTGACATATTTTGGACATGTTGCAAGGAGGGACCAGTCCTTGGAGAGGGATGTCATGCGTGGGAGGGTGGAGGGACAGCTCAAAAGGGGAAGATGGATTGATTCAGTGATTGGGGTAGTGGAAGTAAGGGTATCAGAGTCAATGAGGTTGGCACAGGATAGAGCAGGGTTTAGGGCTCTTTTACATAGGGTCACTATGAGTCGCAAGTGACTTAAACAATTGGTTTCTTTAAAAGGAAAATAGAAGTTCTACAATTTGCTGAAAATGAAGGAGAACTCTGTGAGGTCTAGATGTTACAGGGATTGGAGAAGATGTGAAATAGAAAGAAAAACTCAGAAGGTTAGTAGAAGCTGGAGAGCTATGAGTCAGTTCTGATTAAACAGCACATAGCAGCAACAACAAATAGTATATCTAGTGCTTCTGTTCTGTTTCTGTTTTGTGTAGTGTTTGGGGTCTTAAAAGCTTACAAGCAGCCCCATCCAAAGAATAACAATTGGTCCCCATATGCTTGAAGCAACAAGAAAGAGAAGAATTAGAAATGGGAAGGGGAAAGGGGATGGGAAACACGTATTAATTGCTTATGATCAGCCTCTACAACACTAGAACTGTCTACAATTAAACAAGCTAATTAAAAAGAGGTAGGAACTTAGCCTTAGTGGTAAGAAACTGTGCTGCAACCCCAAAGGCACCCAGTTAGAATCCACTAGCTGCTCCATGGGAGTTCAAATTCTCTTGGACTTCCAAATTTTCTTGACCCCATGGAGGCTAAAACTATTGCCCTGACATAATCATTACATCTTAGAACAAAAATATTCTCTGAAATGATCTTAAAACTGGTAAGGAAAAAAAAAACCCAAACAAAAACAAACAACCAAAAAACCTGGTAAGAAGAAAAAAAATCTGCCTTAACATTTAAATTCTCAACAATTTTGAGGAAATATTTATTATTATTATTATCAGCGTGTGTGTGTGTGTGTGTGTGTGTGTGTGTGTGTGTGTGTGTGTACCATCAAATCAGATCTGACTGGTACAGGAAAAGATTGTCCCTCCTTCTCCAGCAGAGCATCTGGTGGATTCAAACTGCACACCTCTGGGAAATTAAGTATATTTTTTTAAAAGAATAAAATGTGTACATTGAGGCCCAACTGGCTGAAAAAGCAAAGCATAATCTAAGTGTTTCTACAGGATAGAAGAGAAAGCAACTTAAAAAGAAGAAATTTTATAAAATGTTGTGTCATATTTGAGCATATTTGAGTCTTAATGTTCTCCCCCCACTATCTATGTATAAAACAAGAATCGTTTTTTAAAAATACCGTTTGGAAAAAAAAAATACCGTTTGGACTATACTAATGTCTTTTGTGTTCAATAAGGTATTTAAGGATCATGCAATTGATGGGGAAACGTTGCCACTGCTCACAGAGGATCACCTTCGAGACACTATGGGCATAAAGTTAGGGCCGGCATTAAAAATCCAGTCTCAGGTATGATTCTTCACAACTAAGTATCTATTTATGGTAGGGAGCATAAGATAAGTATGTTACCCTGATGCGGTGTACATAATACTAATAGAATCCCTACCTGGGTTTTCCCCTATGTGGATGGGAGCATGGTAGAAGGGAAGGACCTGCAAACATTGGATGAGCTGGCGTTAAACTTGTCAAAGTGAAGTTAGGGAAGTTGTAACTAGTAATATACTGGTAAATATTTAACAACTGTAAGTCTGAGAGAGAGAGAATGAGAATACAAGAGCTCTGGTTTGTAACATTTGTTGATTTCTGTGGTATATGTATTCCCACCGTGGCCGATTTCAAACCATCAATGTGATACTACTAAGCAGCAAATTGGAAAGAGACTATTCCAGGACATTTTTATCATCAGAAATAGAAATAACTTCCACAGCAGAGGCAAGAGTAGAACCATTGTTGTTAGACACCACAGAGCGGACTACAATTAATAGCAATCTTACAGGGAACACATCTGAACCTTGCCCTGTCTGCACCGTCCTCCCAAGTCTGACACACCAAAGCCCACTGCCACAGTGACTCTGCCAATCCAACTTATCGAGAGTCCTGGGTAAAAATAGTTACAACCTGATACAGTCTGAGCATTTATTACTTCTATTTTCAGAATAATTCCTTTAATTGTAAGTGTATAGAAGTTTAATGGGATGTTTATAGAACTGGTTTTCCAGCTTCTTAAAAATTTCACTCTCAGATGTTATATAACTTGATCAAGCTGGTTTTAATGTTATCACTGTATACATGTATGAGAGAGTGTGAGATTGAGGGAGTGTGTGTGTGTGTGTGTGTGTGTGTGTGTGAGAGAGAGAGAGAGAGAGAGAGAGAGAGAGAGAGAGAGAGGAGAGAGAGAGAGAGAGATCTCCAAAACCCAACCACTTCTCACCACTTCTCTCCATAGGTAAACTTTGTACCCTTGCCCACTCACCCACCTACTACCCACCTACTCTTGATTCACAAAAAAGAAAAAAAATCATCCTTTCAATTTCCTGTCAGGTCTAGAATTCCATGTCAGGGTGGATATTAATCTATTTTGTGGACTAAGAGAGCACTAGTACTTTAGAAACTCGGATTTGTTGTTATGTACGTAGCTGGTTTTCAGAGGCACAAACCACATAGGAGATTACCTGTCTTTCTCCTTCAGAGCAACACAAGTCCTTATCACTAAGCCACTACATATTGAAAATAAGCCAGCAAATATTTGTTGAGAGAATGTGCTTCCTAACAGTAACACTAAAAGTGAAACCAGGAATTTGTCACTAATTTCCTGGAGGATTTATGCAGGATTAAGCCTAAACTATTTACAGGAAATATATCAGAAGCTGAGCGTTTAGAATCTCCTTCAAAAACTATTTTTATTTACCCAAGATGTTTAGATAAAAGAGTTCTTTATTTCTAATGTACATGGTTTCATGTTTCCACTGGCATTCTCTTTTTAAAAACTTCTTTTTGGAAAAAAAATTCACATTTATAGAAAAGTTGCAGAAATAATAAGAAAAGTTCCTATATATCATTTAACAGCTTCTCTTAATAACTTTAAAAAAATTTATTATTAATTTCAGTACAAATTTACAGAGGCTTTTGATTTCCATTCATTCATTGCTGCACTTGCCCCCCCTCCCCAACCCTCCCCCCTAGTACACTACCCTTTTGGAAAAGTAAAACAAAAATACTTTCATTGTTTTACAAACCCTCCCCCAGGTCCACTC